GCCCATTCTACTTAGAGGGCTCCGCAACCCAGGTACAATGCCCAGGAAGGCATTAAGGTCAGGATTTCCAAGGACCCCTGTGCAATGGCTAATTGCTTCCCCTCTCCTCAGAATCCTGACCTTTGTGGTTCTTAGCAGACCAACACATCTTTTTTCTAGAGCTACACTGTCCACTAAAAAATACAAATCAGATATATAATTTAAAATTATATAGTCACATGAAAAACAATGATAAAAAGGAGTAAAAACAGGTACACGCCTATGATTCCAGCAGGAAAGAAGGAAGCAAGAAGACTGCAAGTTTGAGGCCAGCCAGGCAACATGAGACAGCACCTGCCTCAAAGCAAAAACAAACAATTCAAAAAACCCCAAAAAACAAAAACGTGCCTTGCTGGCCCCACCCCCGGGGCATACTGAGCCAGCAACCAAGTCTGGGCATGGTGGCACACGTCTGTAATCCCAGCACTGGGGAGGCTGAAAACAAGAGAATCCCTACAAGTCTGAGCTGCGTAGTGAGATCCTGCACTATATATACAAAATGAAAAAAAGAAATGACAATAATATATTCTATTTAATGCAATATATCCAAAATATTGTCATCTCAACATGTAATTACATAATTCAATTTTCTATAGCAAGTGTTTAAAATTTAGTGTATACTTTCCACTTAGAGCACCTTGCAAATCAGACTACATTTTAAGTATCCAGGGGCCGGGGAAATAGCTACAATAAGTGCTTGCCTGGCAAGTGCAAGGTCCTGAGTTCAATCCCCAGTTCCACAAAAAAAAAAAAAAAAAAAAAAATTAAGTATCCAAAAGCCTCATAGAACTAGTAGCTATCAAACTGAACAGTGCAATCCTTGGGAATTTTTTACTTCTTGAGCACATCCAAAGAGGTATGAACTCTGGCCAGATCACTAGCTCCTTGTAAATGTAGGAAAAAACCTCTTTCCCTCTTTGATTCCAGATTGTACTTGGTAAAACAAAGTTTCCTCTGAAATTGTTGGTTGTAAACGCTCCATAAATAGTCCTTGGGAATTGAAGACAGGAAATCTAAAATCCAAAAGGTTTGCATAGCTAGGGGTAGTTTTGGCCAGCTAGGTCTCCACTGAGTTGGAATGAGAGAGTGCTTGACAGCCAGTATCCTTTTTGACAAGGGGAGTCTCTCTTCTGCATTTTCAGGAAACGTGGTACGAAGAGAACAGATCATATACCAGGTCATGGGATCGTTGGCAGGTTACTACCTATACCATCTTAAAGGTCTGGTTTAGAAGATGGCTCCAGGGATAATTATCAGGGAAAATGGGGAGGGGAGCCTTGAGGAGTTAGAGGGAACAAGCAAGAATATGGCAGCTTTAGGCCAACCACTGAGAACCCAATGGCTTACTGTGCTGTTCCACTAAGACGCCTAATTTTCATTTTGCAATCCTTACCCAATCATGACTATTTGCTGGAGATTAGATAGCTGAGCAATATTAATGGAAAACACCTCCCAGAATTCTAGAATATTTGAGCTAGAAAATCTCTTAGAAAAAATTTACATAAATTGTTGTCTTAACAAAACCTTGTCTCTTGGGCCAGGGAGATAGCTCAGTGACTAAGCGTCTGCTTAGGCAAGCTCAGGGACCAGGGTTCGATCCATAGCAGCACATGCCACCCCTAAAAACAGCTGCACAACCCACTGAGCTGGCCACCAAATCCAGGCAAGGTGGTGCAGGCCTGCAATCCCAGCACTGGGGAAGCTGAAAACAGGAAGATCACTACGAATCCAAGCTGTATAGTGAGACCCTGTACCAAATACATAAATTAAAAAAAAAAAAAAAAAAGTTAGGCCGGCCAAATAGCTCACCGGATTAAAGCTCCTGCAAGTAGGTGCAGGGGCCCAGGGTTCTATCCCCAGGCCTGCTGTGCCGCCCTGGTCCCCGGGGTACACTGAGATGGCAATAGAGACTGGGCATGGTGATGTGCGCCTGTAATCCCAGCACTTGGGAGGCTGTAAACAGACAGATCACAACAAGTCTGATCTACACAGTGAGACCCTGAACACCCTGTACACACTGTCCTAAAATTAAATAAATAAATAAATAAATAAATAAATATCTTTTTTTAAAAAAGCTTATCCCTCATTGTTGCTCTAGTAAGCAGGAACAACAATTACAGCAGCAGCACAGGGAATGGTACTCGCTGGAAATTTTAGGCAATCAGGTATCCAGCCCTGGGTCTGCCAACAGGGACCTCACCTGTCATTTTGCTCAACACTGAAGTAGATGATCTAGGCCTCTTCTAGCTCTAAAATTCCAACTATCTATGCTCTCACAAACACAGGTAAGTTATTAACTTTTGATCAGAAGTGTCCTTCTCATCACAACCCTGGGGCCTTCAGAGACCAAGCAGTGTTGCTCTTCTCTTACCATTCCTGTCCTGTTACTGTTATTCGTACAGTTTACAAGACACCCCTTCCCTCTACCATTCCCGTCCCACCAGGTCTATATGATGCCTCTTCGCCCCCTTCCCTGTGGGGCCAGATCTGCAAAGCAGATGCAGCTGCAGCTTCTTCTAGGCTTTTCAACCCTCAATTAACTAGAGATGGGCTCCATCACCTTTGTGTAGACCTTGAACCTGCCAACATCTCCTGTCCTCAGATCCAAAGTCTGAAACCACCACCTCCCCAGTCTCCATTCCAGGCTGCAGTTCCCTCCACCTTCCCTTCCTCTCTTACTCTTCACTCCAGTGAAAGTAGCCTTTAGACTTTCTGACCTCTTCCTCTGCTTTTCTTTCCTCCTGCTATTCCAGGAAGCCTTTCCTAATTGTAAGCAAAGGAAAAGCATGTAAGTAAATTATGATATGTTTTTAAATTATTTTGAACATCCTATCTTTAAAGCTAAACAAAGCACCATCTGTCAACTCAGCTAGTTTATCTCTTCAGGACAGAGGGCATCTTGAAGGCACGACCATTCAACTGAACTATGCATCTGTCTATCCATCCACAAGAACAAATAAACAATTTACAGATTAGGCCATGAAATACCACTTAGCAATAAAATGAAACAACTTGATATACACAACAACAAAAATGAATCCCAAAAACATTATTTCAAACAAGAAGAGACTATAATGACAAAAAGTATATAGTCTTCATTATTCTAGCATAATTCTATTTCTATGAGGTATGATTCTATTTATATGAAGATCTAGTACACACAAAATTAACCTATAGGGGGCCTGCCCCTTAGCTCTGTTCTTTAAGTGGCTGCTTCAGCAAAGCAGTCAGGCTCAGGTTTCTGTGGTTGGATCCCCACAACTCAAGCCAGCCAAACCTGCCCTGAAGGCATTTGGAGCAAAAAAATAAAATCCAAATTAATCTATGATGAAAAATATCAGGGGTCTCCCTCTTCCTTATGCATTCTCCACTACCCTTGGAGAATGCGTAAGAAAGGCATGAGGGAACTTTCTCGGGTGATGCTGATACAGGTTTGAGTTGACATGTACATTCATTTGCCAACTATCATCAAACAGTATACATAAGATTTGTGCATTTTTTAGTATATTTACTCAAAAGAGAAAAGAACTGTAAATAAATAGTGAACTCTAGTTAATGATATATATGCCAAAGAATGTGGGGTACAGTTTACTGATGGCTACAATGTACTTTGGACCACTTAAATTTGTCAAAAATTTAAGATAGCTTCATAGATGGATCAAGGCATTGAAATGTGATAAAGCCAGGACAGGAAAATAATTGTTAAAGCTGTTAGGTAGAAATATTGGCTGTAAAATTCTTTAATGCCTCTGAATGTTTGAAGAACTTTTCTTATTTTTTAAATTTTATGTATTTGGTACACAGTCTCACTACACAGCTCAGACTCGCAGTTCAAACTCATAGTGATCCCCCTGTCTCAGCCTCCTCAGTGCTGGGCTTGCAGGCATGCGCCACCACGCCCACCTTTTCTTGGTGGCAGGCTCAGCGCACCTTGGGTGGGGCCGGCACAGCATGTGGTACCAGAGACAGAACTCAAGTTCTTGTGCTTGCCAGGCAGGCACTTAGACCACCAAGCTATCTCCATGGCCCCAAAATTAATTTTTTTTTTCAGTACCGGGACTCAAACTCATGATCTTGCCCTACATAGACAGGTGCTTATGCCACTGTGCCATCTTCTTGGCCCCTGTTTGCAGAACTTTTACGATAAAATGTCAAGAAAAAATATGTAACTACCAAGCATCTACCATATGCAAGGGACGTAAAGGTAAGTAAGTGTAGTGAAAGAGCTCAGGCTTTGAATGTCACAAACTTGGAAACAAATCTGAATACCAATGCTACACAGTCTCATATGTTGGTGAGCAATTCACTGAAAGACACAGCATGCCTCCATTTTTCCATCTGTAAAATGGAGATGATAAGAGTACTTACCACATAAGGAATGAGAATTAAATGAAGAAAAAAAAAATATATATATATATGCCTTTGTTAACAATTCCTAGTAGGCTCATGGTAGGCTCTCAAGAAGAGTAACTGACAATAGCAAGACATATTCTCTGTCGCCTAAATTAGAAGGTGAGAATGGCAGAAAAGAAAGCACACGGAAGACCATCAACACAAGTTTCACGAAAATAAGTCCAGACTTTCGTATATGGCAAGTAAACCCAGAGCAGTAAAGCCAATTCAGTAAGCACATAGCCAAACTGGATTATACTGGTTTGAGTCCAAAGCCCCCTACATTATTGCTGAGGGTATATCCTGCCAATGCATAGATCTGGTCATACAAATGGCTATTAAACACACACAGGTGTTCAGCCTCAGCAATATTCACAGACAATGGGAATTAAGCATAAATTGTCCTTCACTCAGCCGTTTAGTAAAAACCTTCAAGATGGATATCATCAATCAATTAGGGAATGGGGAGCAGGGACTCATACGTTGATGAGACTAAAAACTACCACATGTTTTTCATTTGTTTGCTTGTTTGTTTTTTAGTAGCAGGAAGGCCAGGTGGTCATTACTACAAAAAGAAGGAACATTTCAAGTATTTGCATGCCATCCCTCCACAGGGGCCATGCTAATCTGCCCTATGCCATTCCAATTTTAGTATATGTGCCCCTAAATCAAGCAGTGGAGTAATCTTTTAGAGGGCAAGTTGGTAATGCCTATGAAAATATTTTGTACATGTTCTTTGATTAGGCAATTCCATTTATATGTCCTATATCATGTATTTATCCAGTAAATAAAGCTCACCTTTGTAGCACCATTTATAATAACAAACATATAAAGATGAGTGTGAATTACTAGGGAAACAGCCTACAGGACAATAGGCAGTTATTAGAAAGAATGAGGGAGATTTATACATCATGACCTGGAAAATTCATACCATGTTATAATTGAAAAAGAGTAAGTTAAAGGATAGCATATAAAATTGCTAAAGTTTTAGACTGTGTCTGAATATACACATGTACCTTACTCATAACATTTGCATATCCATAGAAAAATCTTTGCTCTGGGGAGGAGATTGAGATTTTAGAAAGTCAAACTAGATTTTTCATTTATCTAGATGATTTTCATTTTTTACAATGAGACTATGCAGCTGTTAGGTGTGTTATCTGAGTAGTGGGATTATTGCAATTTTTCATCTCTTTTTCTACATGCTCTTTATTTCCCAGAGGGGGAAAAAACCTTAATATTTATATTAAATGATATGTTAATGTAACATTTTAAACTATAATTATATAATGCATTCTATAAGTTTTTAAAATAGTCCAAAAAGCAACATTACAAAAATTTATCTAAGCAGACAAGTGGACACAGGCCTAAAGTCTGAGCACATTGGGAGGCTGAGGCAGGAAGATAGTAAATTTGAGCTCATTCTGAGCAATTTTGCAAAACCCTGTTTCAAAATAGGTGTAACTCAATGTGAAGGCCCTGGGTTAATCCCCAGTACCAAAACCAAACGTCTATTTGGTTAACTCTGGGGAGTAAGGGGACTACAGGAAACACTTCCTAATGATTCAATTTTCCAGCACATATTGCTACCTTAATTTTAAAAATAGATAGAATAGGAAAGAAAGCAGGAGAAGGGAGAGAGAGAAAGAGAAGAAAGAAAGATTTAACAAAGTAGTAAGCAATCCTTGAGCATTAAAAGTCATAAACAAGGCTTATAAATGTTTGTTGTAATGGTCAGTATGAGGCTTGGGTTGCCTTACTGTCTTGAAAAAGGGACCTGGTTAGGAGACTCACTGTTGTCCCGTGGCTTTAAGTAGGGACAGATTTAAATGGGTCACCCTGCAGCTGGCAAAGCAAAAACCCCAGGAAATGGAAACTACAACATTAGCATCCCAAGACAAGGGCGCCAAGAAGTGGCTGCCGGGTGGATACTTAGGTCAGTCGTGCACCCCCACCCCCAGACCACACTCATAAATAAATACAAAGGAAATAGTTTCCCAAGAGAGCCAGCCTCTCTCCCTTGGCTTCTGACCTCTCAAAGCAGCAAGTCCCTAGAGCCTGAGGCCCCTCCAGGCCCTCATCAGGGACAGCAAAGCAACCTTGATGGGGTCTCCTAGCACCTGGCCCGAGTGGCGGGGGTGACGGTGGGAGGGTGGGGAAAGGTAGGGGGTGGGTGGCAGGTCGTCGCAGAGTTTGCTCCTGTGGGCCGGTTCCAGTGAGCCGCAGTGAGCTCCGTAGCACCGCGTGACTCACGGCCAGGTCACACGGAACTTATCCGGCTCCAGGTGTGCTCGCTTGCTCTGGCTGCACACTTCTCACATGACACCAACGGGGCCGCCCGCCGCAGCGCTGGGAGTCCGGCAACCCTCTGCATTTCCCCGGAGGCCCGGTGGAAGACAACCGCAGCCACAGCCCAAGGCGCCTCCCGCTACAGATCTGTCTCTCCTGGAACTCTGCAGGCTGCAGTCCCAGGAGGATGAGAACGGGAGAATGCTCTCAGCCCTGTGGAACCCTGTGGTTCTTCCAGAAGCAGCTTCAGCCCCAAGTGGGGCCAGCCCGCAACCTAACTGTACCACAGCTGCCCAGGCCATTTGCCCCCCTGTGTGTGACCTTGAGCAAGTCTCCCTTCTGAAGTCTCTGCTATATCAACTATAAATCTCTAAGGCCCCAAAGAACAAGCCTGGCCCCAACCCTTTGCAGGAGAGGCATTCAGTCCACCTCACACTGCAGATTTTAATCATGCTCTGCCTCCAATGTGCTGTGCGACCTTGAACCCATCATCCAACAGCTCTGAATACCAGACGATAAGAAAAATAATCCCTTGTAAGTGATGATGAAGTACCTGCAAAGAGAATGGGCCTTACACCCTATAAAATCAATAGTCCAACCATTTAAACTGCCGTTTGAGTTTAAACCGTCAAAAGAATGTGCATAATTTACAAGCCACACAATTTCTCCCTCTACCAACTACAGGAAAGTGAAGGAGGTGGAGCAAGTGGAGGTTGTCCAGGTCTTTGCCCCACCCCTAGCAATCTATTCCTACTTCCCACCAACTCACTCTCTAATTTAGGCTACCTCCAAAAACTGAAAAAACTGGGAGTAAAAAGGAAAGGAACTGGTGCTGCAGTGGGATGTAGGGTGCAGATCTTAAAGGACCCCAGAGCCTAGCCCAAAGCAGAACTTAAAATCTCCCCAGGGAGCCCCTATCCTGAGTCTTGAAGCAATCAACCTGTCAATCACAGTACACACTGGTCCTACAAAATCATTAAACTGAACCAGGCCCCAGCCCCTCAGCTTTACCCATCACACCCAGAACAGGTCTGGGGTCCCATGCCACCACCATCTTACAAGGATGCTCTGGTTCCTGTCTATGGCATCCACTCCAGTGAAACCTCTGAAACAGCTCTGTTGCCCTGGAGACCTATGACACATGAAGTCTGGGTCAAGTTTCCCATGTCCCAAGAATTCCCTGCTCCACCCATTAGGAAGGGATCTCCCTTTCACAGTTCTACCCCATGTAGTCTAGGTTTAAGTATCTACCTCTGAGGACTCGAGAGTCTCCAGGCCCCACTTCTGAAAACATGCCACCCTCTCCCCCATGAGCAGCCTCAAGCAGGGTCAATGAAGCAGGTTCCAGGTAACAGGCTGGAGTGGGGTTAAAAGAAATCAGGGGTCAGGAAGGACATGATCCACTTGAGGGCTTCTAAGGAGATCCTGGGGCAAGGGAGGAAGCCCTTAGATACATATCCTGGCAGCTGAGCCAGGCCAGGGGAGATTAAACAAACTAGATACCCAGAGCTGCCAGGTACCTGGTCATTAACTGTCCAAAGTTCAAAGCTCCCAAAGGAAATGACCATCAGCCTATGACCCCTTCCACTCTCACCCTCCACCCCTTCTCATTCTCCTAATTCACAAAATAGAATAGCTCACCCCAAAGCCATTGTCTTCCTGGAACTGAGACCCCATTCTCAGTGTCTTCAATCCCAAATGGACAAGTACACCTCCACCCAAGGCTATATATAAACAGGCAATTCATGTCCAGCAAGCAAGAGGATGTTTCCTGGAAAGCCTCATCACAAAAGGACAGAGGGGAAGCTGAGGAGAGGGCAGACCTTTGACAAAGAGCCAGCAAGTCTTGTCAGGAAGCCAGAGACCTCAGGAGAGCAACTTTCAACATCTCCAAATAGAAAGTAGCCCCAAAACAGAAAGGTTGAGGAACATTAGGCCAGATTCATTGTCATGACAAGATACCAACGTGCTCAAGAAAAGGGCTCCATATCTAGCAAGGATAAGGCAAAGCAGCTTGATTCAATGTCCTTTAGATTGAGTGTTTCTGCAAGGTGACCTTGCCCTTGGTCAATGGAGTGACTGACCCTCCCAACACAGCTGCAGTGCATAGACACATGCTTTCTACAGTGCTCTTGTCATCAGGGCACTTACAGGGCTACCTCAGCCACAGATATGCCAGGGACACCAAGAGACGAGACCCAAACCAGCCCAAGTCACTGGCAACATGAAAGGGGTAGGAACTCAATTCTGTCATTTTGGGGGACCATTTGAGAACAAAGTCTTAGCTAGAGAGTTCCTCAAGAAGCTGCGTCTCTGCCCTCCTGAAACACAAACTATCAGGCCACCACCAAACACATGCCCTGATGGCCAAGTTACCAGGCAAAATGATTTCCAACTAAAAAACAAACTATTTGTCTTCCTCCTCATCTCTGTCTCATTTTGGCAGCAGTCTTTCCAACTAATCAGCAAGATACATGTGCATTGGAACAGGGCAACACCCTCATCTCCACCCCCAAAACAAAGCCCCGGTATATGGTGTGTCCCTGCAGGCCTTATCTCAGGCAAGAGCATAACCCACTCCCTGCCAGGCGTGGTACCAAGCTGTGTGCTCCCCTGGCACCGAGAGGGGTGGGAGCAGCTGACCCTACCACTTCCCTTTCCATTGGCGAAACAACTGGCATGACAGGTTAGCAGGGCGGGGCATTGGATCGGTCTCTCCCAGAAGCCTAGGGCAGGCAGTCCGACCTTCCCACACACACCCCCCCCCCTGCAGGGAAAGGTGAGGGGAACAGCCAGGCGCAGGGGACGGCCTGCATTCCTTAATAATCCCCCAAGCCTGCGTTCGCCTACCCTCCATCTTCCGTCCCATGGGGAGGGGGCCCGGGAAGCGGGATCTCCATTGTTTTGCCAGCTGTGTAGCAGCTGCTCCTTTGAGAGGAGCTCGCTGTCTGCCTGGCAGTGAAAGGGTGAAGGCCGCTAGGAGGGATAAAGGGCTCTGTGGAGGTGCTCGCCTTCCCCGCCGCCTTCTTCAGCGGCTCTCGCTCGCTCCATCTGGGGGGCCCGGGCCTGGCCCCGGGTAGCCCCCCAGCCCCAAGGCTGCAGCCTCCATTCCGCAGCTCAGGGCCAGCTGGGGTCCTCCGAGCCCAGAATATCCCCCGCCGAAGGCCACCCTGTCCTGCCTCCGGCGCCCCTCAGGCTGGCCACAGAGACCCGGTGCTTTCGCTCCCCGCCCCTCTGATTCCCCAAACCCCCGCTGTCGAGCCCTGAGGCGCCGCAAGGGACGGGAGCCCGGAGTCCGGGCCGCCGTTTCCAGGGTACAAGGGAGGAAGAGGCGCCGGCGGCCCCGCCGCTCGCTCGGCCCGCCGACCAGCCGCAGCGCGCCCCGCC